GTAACAAGTGCATCGCTATTAGCAGCTAGAAGCTACTAGTAACAAAGTGCATCGCTTCTAGGAACAAGTGCCTTACTAGTAGTAACAAGAAGCTACTTGTAACAAGTGCATCGCTATTAGCAGCTAGAAGCTACTAGTAACAAATGCCAAGTGGTGTGACTCGATGGCTGGACTCGCTGGACTCTCTGTCTCGCCCGGACTTGAAGCCGCATGGACTTGAAGCTTAAGGCTCCGGCAGCGGAATTCATGCAAAGCTCCCTGAAAGCTGGGCTCCAAAATGTCCTCAAGCTCCTTGTCGCAGCTCAAGGTGCGCAAGCCGGGCAAGGAGAGGTTTGCAAGCCCGGCAGGCTGATCAAAGCCAACACCCAAGGTCAAGTTCTGCAAGCTGCTTGGCCATGTCACATCTTGCAAGCTCTGGTCAAACTCATCGCCAAACTTCAAAGTCTGCAGGCTGCTTGGCCAGGAAACGCCTTCCAAGCTTTGGTCAAACCCCTCGCCAAAGTTTAGAGCCTGCAGGCTGCTAGGCAAGGAAACACGTTGTAAGCTTCGATTGAACTGCTGGCCAAACTTCAAAGTCTGCAGGCTGCTGGGCAAAGTGACACCCTCCAGGCTCTGGCAAAAACAATTGCCAAAGGTCAAAGTTTGCAGCCCACTGGGTAGAATCACGCCTTCTAAGCTCTGGTTGAATTCTTGGCCAAAGGTCAAAGACTGCAGGCTGCTGGGAAACGTAACACCTTCCAAGCTCTGCTCGAACAGAAAGCCAAAGGTCAAAGCCCCCAAACCGCTTGGCAACGTAACACCCCCCAAGCTTTGGTTGAACGCTTCGCCAAACTTCAAAGTTCGCAAAGTCTTGGGGAAGAAGACACCATCCAAACTCTCATCGAAACTGAAGCCGAAGGTCAAAGTCTCCAGGCTGCTTGGCCAAGTAATGCCTTCCAAGCTTTGATCAGGACCGTTGCGGAAGTCTAAAGTCTGCAAGCCCTTTGGCCAAGTGACACCTTCCAAGCTATGCCCAAAGCCACCCCCAAAGGTCAAAGTCTGAAGAGAGCTTGGCAAGGTGACGCCTTCCAAGCTTTGGTTGAAGCTATTGCCGAAGGTCAAAGCCTGCAGGCTACTTGGCAGGGTGACATCTGCCAAACTTTGGTTGAATCTGTCGCCGAAGGTCAAAGCCTGGAGTCTGCTTGGCCACATGAATCTTGCCAAGTTGTGGTTGAACTTGTCACCAAAGGTCAAAGACTGAAGGCTATCTGGCAGAATGACACCTGAAAAGCTCTTGCTAAACTGAGCACCAATGACCAAAGTCTGCAGTCCATTGGGTCAAACCACCCCTTCCAACGTCTGTTCAAACCCATCACCGATGATCAAGGTCTGTAGACCCCTTGGCAGGGTGACACCATCCAAACTCTGGTCAAACCAGTCTCCGAAGGTCAAGGCGTGGAGGCCTCGTGGCAAGGACACATTATTCAAGCTCTGATTGAAGTTGGAACCAAAGATCAACGTCTGCAGACTGCTAGGCAGCATGACACCTTCCAAGCTCTGGTCGAAAGAAAAGCCGAAGGTCAAAGTCAGCAAACTACTTGGCAATGTGACACCTGATATGCTCTGGTTGAAATTCCAGCCGAAGGTCAAAGTCTGCAGACTGCCTGGCAGTGTGACACTCTGCAAGGGCTGGTTGAAGTCTTTGTTGAAGGACAATGATCGAAGGCGACTTGGTAGTCTAATGTCCTCCAAACTCTGATTGAACCTCTCACCAAAGGTCAATGTTTGAAGGCTACTTGGCAGCCTCACACCTTCTAAACTCTGGTTGAAATCTTCCCCAAAGGTCAGCTCTAGTAGAGTCTCTGGCAGAGTGACATCTACCAAGCTCTGGTTGTAGTGAAAGCCAAAAGTCAAACTCTCCAAATGATTTGGCATCGAAAACCCCACCAGCGTCTGGTTGAACTTGTCCCCAAAGTCAGGGAAGAAATTGCATCTGTCACCGCCGTGTGCGAGTGATCTCTTGTCCTCTCTGCCAGGGCCTGCTGCAAGGCGATTGCTGCTTCCAGTGCACAAACCTGCCGAACGACATAGGAAATCTCTCTGCCGATCACTTTGTGCTGCAGGGGCACGAAGGAATCCTCGAGGAGTTTGCCGCCAGACGACAGAAGGAGTCTTCGACCAGCTTGCATACCAATTCTCGTTGCAATCATCTTTGAAAGATCACCCACCTGCAGCCGTATGTAGTGAGGTAGATGGTGGTGGAAACCATCAAGACCCCAAATAGGGGCAGGCCGACTCATAATGTTTTACAATATTGCAGCAGCAATTTATGTAAATGTTGCTTGAGAAAATCGGATGGAAACCAAGCTTTGAATCTGAAACAAAGTAAGTTCCACACCAGGCTTCCTGCCAGGCTTCCGGGTTTGGAGTTCAGCTTGGGAGCTCCATGTTCCAGAAAACCCTGTCCACCTGGAACAGGTCCCCGCACCTTTGCCTTACGTCTCTCTTTTGCCCGCACCGTTTGCCCCGTCCGTTCAGGTCCGTTCAGGTCCGTTCACCGAGGCGCTGTGAGGCCCACCGAGCGGAGCTGAAACGTGGAGCCGTCGAGACCGCTGATGCTCAGAGTCGAGTCGACATCGACCTCCAGGAGCAGCCTCGGTCAGTGGCTGCTGTGGATACCGCCACACCAAAATACATTCAAAGAATGGTTGATTTGGTTTTGTAGTCAAAAATCATTAGGAAGACCATGGTTCTTTGGTAAAGACCCAGGAGAACGAACGAAAACAATGGTTTTTGGAAATCCCAGGGGATATCTGCGATGCGAGTTCAACTCGGACAACCGGTTCCGCTGCTGGAACAGGCTTAGAACAGTCTAGGCGAGCAGCGGCGTCATCCTTAGGGTGGAAACCATGAGCGGCGTCGTTCGGATAGTATCTCACTCCCTTGAAGAATCATGGGTTCCATGGATGGCGCCACCTGTTTTGATATGAGGATAAATATTCTGTTCATCCGAACAGCTGTAAGGAGCCATTCTCCACGTAAACCATGTAAGATTCCAGGGAGTGTAAATGTAGTTCGGTGATGTTGCAGGGAGTGTACACTCGACTCCCTACTCCGGCTCTGAAGCCAAGCAGGAAATTCTGGCACCTCACATTGGTGAATGTTTGCAGCACCGGGTGTGTCCCAAAATTAGGGCACCAACCTTGAGGGTTCAAAGATGCTTTTCCTCTCACCAGAGGTCTCTTGGAGGACATAGCGTACATACCCTTTGCACTAGGATAAGTGGTCAACCGCAGGGACAGATTTCCATTATTATGTTCATGAAAATTCATAGGAAATAATAAGGAAATGGTGGACGCGATCATTAGATTTAATGGTATGTCTTTTGTCTTTCATCATGATTTTAGTTAATCCCGAGTACCTGGTAAAAAACGGACCCCAATTTAAAAAAAGTCATGCCGGATCCCCCTAAATACGGTTTATATGTGTTTTTAAATGGCCGCCCTTTCAAGCCGCTACTAAACTACCAACATGGCCGATTTTGGAGGGGTCTTTCTTATTAGGTTCCAAAAACAACTGTAACTGCTCACCTCTGTCCGCCTTTGTAGGGGAAAAGGAAGACCCTTCGATCTGTAGGTTTTTTGCATGTTTGATACAAGTTTAAAAAGGGTTTTATATAAAATTTTACTGGATTATTTTTTGGTGTTGAAACTCTTTCCAGGTGACCCAATTTGGACCACCACGATTTCAGGGACCCCCTATTTAAAAAAAGCGACCGAGGTTTCCTTATTAGGGGGGGGAGGCGCGTTTTTTAATAGGCGGACTGGATTATAGGAGGTCCTTGAACCCTGGGAATCCTATTCGGATTGATGAAAGACGCGCCCAGCGTGTCACCAGTACGAAGAAAATAATGGTATGATGCGTATGAAAAGCAACGGTGGTGCAGGGCACCATGAGATTCCCGCGTTACTTTGGGGCAGCGCCGATCATGTGGAGTGATGTTAATGTTGTTCTCAGAAAACACACCTCCAAGATGGATTGACGATAGCACAGAAATCGCTCAAAAAGTGGTTCATCTGGGAAGACATGTCTTAGCCAGTCTTGGGACACCGTTTTCCGTTGGGACCCTGAATTCGATATATGTTATATAATATGCATGTGACGTGCGTTGACTGTAACAGCTATGCTTAAAGCTTCACCTACACCCGGTGGAGCTTTAAGCTTTTGTCAGTGTCCAGTGAGTCCAACAAAAGCGAGGAGAGAAAGGAGGTGCACCGGATGAATCAAACACGCAGAGCTGAACACAACTCAGAGAGTGTGTTCGATGAAACCCCTTCTCCAGATTAAACCGAGAGTAAATACATGAGATTCGTAGGGTGTTTGAGATTGAACCAGCTCAGCCAAGGCTTTTCCTCAGGGCCACCGGATGGAAGAGCTCCTCCCAGTTTGGGACATGAACTTCTCTCTCCAAATAGAAACGCCCCAGCTTCCGTGAAACGGGTCACCTGGCTGGACAACCTCACACTTATAGGTCGACAGGAAGATTCGCCCTGGCAGCGGGCCAAGTTCAGTTTCCAACAAGTCGTTAATGTCCTTGAACTCCTCGGATGCATTTCTCACATTTGTCCGAAAGCCAAGCGACTCCTCTGCCCGCCGCAGCAGCCGCTGCGCACGCTCCGCGTCCTCTTTGATGACCCTCCGCAGCACCGCCTCGGCATCGGCGTCCGCACTGGCGCCGGCGCCCATGGCCGAACACCGCAGCACCCGGGCGTTCGGAACCGAGGAGTGAGGTCGGTGCATCTGAAAATGCCGTGTTTGGGACGACTGGGGATTCGGATCTGATCGAAATGGTCAGACTTAAGTTACTGGTATCTTTTTGATCTTTTTGGGTCTGCAAACATGCAGTCGATGTGTTCTTTGTACATTGATCGGGGCCAACTTGCGATGATCGACGAACCGCGAAAACATGTCATTAAGTCTTGAGCGGCTTTCAGTGATTCAATGGGGAATGTTGATGAATGAACCACCCCAGAATTTGGGAGATGGTTGGCCATCCTGGTTGCGAATCTCTAGCATCGTCACCATGGATATTGGTTCCTCATCACCTTCCCAACTGCTCTGCCGCACTGTTTAACTCATCTTTTCCATAATCTGGATGTCCAGATCTGGAGGCTGCTTGGCAGCATCACACCTGTCGAAAGTCTGCACGTCGACCTGTCTACGTGCCTCAAACATCAAACTCCCTGGGACAGCCAGCTCGCGGCTCGCCAAAGCCCATGAGGAAAGCGTCTGGTTGAAGTCCGTGTAGCAGACACCAGCAAGATTCACCCCGATCTCACGGTCCAGGACCAGTTGTGGAAAGCGGCTGCCCCCTCGGGTGATGTTTCAGCCGCCCAGCCAACCCAGCAACCCAGCTTCGCCAGTCCGATTTTGCCCCCAGTCCGGTGATTCACCGAGTCCGTCTCCAAGAGATGTCTGCCGGTCTTCCGATTTCCAGGTCGCTCATGGAGACAGACCAAGCAGACTTCGGTCACGACACAATGTCTTCTCAGACATGCCTGCCGATCCGATGATGTCGGACGGGTCGAAGTCGCCGGGTGCCGAAACTGGACGAGGAAATCGTGCTGGTTGGAGTGCCGGTGACACAGGAAGCCCAGCCTTTTTCACCTGCAAGGACCACTTCTGGCACCCTTCTGGCGCCACAAATCATCTTAAAAACATCTTGGCAACTGAAGCCCAGCAAGCTCATGCACCTAAATGTGACCAGGTGCGAATACCCGTGGAGTCCTGTCCAAAAACTGAAGCTAAGGAGTCCCAAAAAGCATCAGCTTCGACCCTTCGTGACCGACCTGTTTCGAATTGATCAGAGCAAACCTCCCGAGCCGCCGTGCCGAGCCGGGCCTTACATGCCTCGGGGGAGCTGAGTGTGCAGGCTCGTGTCCACATCGCAAGGGAATAAATGTGGTTAGATAAATCCCAAGCTTTAGCTTGGGGGGTGCATTTTTCTCCTAGAAATGATGTATTTTTCAATGTTTTTGAAAACGTGATTAAAATTGGACCAAATGTTGGCGATGCCGGTTATGCTAATCGAGTGAGATCGCACTACTGACATCGCCGACGTCTCGGGAAGAGAAGGAGCATTGGACCAGACGTTGGCGATGCCGGTTATACCGGGCGGGACGGATCGCATTATCGACATCGCAGACATCTCATAGATAAATAAGTAGATAGACGGAGGGATGGCTAAGTAGATAGACGGAGAGATAGCTAAATAGATTGATATGTCGATAAATAGACAGATAGATAGATAGGTAGATAGACGGAGAGATAGCTAAATAGATAGAGACATAATTTGGTAAGAGATAGATAGGTAGATAGACGGCAAGATAGCTGAATAGATGGATAGGCAGAGGAATAGGTAGATAGATAGGTAAATCAGCCCGCACCGTATAAATAGATAGATAGATAATAAAAATAGACAGATATATAGACAAATCGAAAATAGATAGATAGATAGCTAGCCAGATAGATAGATAGATAGGTAGATATTATGAACATCGCAGAAATCGCAAGCGTCTAGGCAAACCGTGGGACACTGTACGATTGAAATCGTGGATGTGTTCGGTCGTGCGCCCGGTCCGACTGGATGAGGTGAATGGTATTGAGCCTGTGGTTTTTGATGTTTCTGGAGGGGAACAATCGCATATGCGGAGCTGCGCGCCGCATTTTCTTCAACACAACGGAGCTGCACGGATAGTCCCGCAGCATCACACCTTAGCAGAGTGGCGGGGCGTCAGAGATCGTGCGATAAGTGTTGCGAGTGTTTTCTATGCTGAGGACGTGGCCCATAGAGACTTGTGCCTGGCACGGCGCAAGCGCAGCCACGGTATATGTTCTGTGACAAAAACAGAAGGAGGCGCTACAAATTTGCGATGTATGTGCGCAATATACCACTTGCTTTCTATGCTGAGAATGTGGCTCATAGAGACTTGTGCCTGGCACGGAGCAACAACAGCAACGGTCTATGTTCTGTGACAAAAGCAGAAGGAGGGACTACAAATGCGCGATGTATGTGTGCAGTATATCAATTGCTTTCTATGCTGAGGATGTGGCCCATAGAGACTTGTGCCTAGCACGGAGTAATCACAGCAAGTTATCAGTGGCCAATGCGTAAACTGACATCTCCGGGATGCCCTCAAGTCTGATCTGGATTTAGTATTGAAGATAGTGCTTTAGTGTCCATGAGCCACCACGCATCAGGCAGTAATGGATGTTTCACACTTGTACCTCTGATTTCCCTTTTGGGGATTTTCGGCTATCGCTGACTATACACATCTGCGTTCAGCAATTGGTCTACTTTCCAGACCTGTTCCTCTTGCACCGCCCAACCCCGGTGGCCCTCAAGAGCAGCCTCCACCCCTGTTTCTTCTTGGGCTTGTTCTACTTCGCTATCACAGTCGGCCCCGTCACCTTCCGAAGCTTTTGGTTGAGTCCACAAGCGAAAATCTACCAGCTCTTCCTTCCACATTGACCGAGCACAGAGCGCACAGCTCCGTAGGTCTCATTCTTCCCCATTGGCAGACTTCTTGCTATACGTGGGTGATGTTCAACATGGGCTGTTCTCAATGCATGCTCACGGTCAAGGAAACTAAACTGCTTCATCCGAAGTTTCGTTTTACTCTTCACATGCGCTGGCTATGTTTCACATAGGTTCTTTGGCAATCGTGCCGCACCCAGCAGCCTGCGCCTGCCACAGCGAACCAGGACCGCCATGGGCATCCTGCATCACATGCGCGCAACATATATTACTCTCCGCTGCTGCCGTATGCAAATGCTTTCGACAAAACGGACCACGACCGTGGAAACCATTTCAAGCAGAGCAAGCCCGCACACTGCAATACGTGGTGCAGTTCGGTGGTCCTTTTTTCTGCTCCCTTCCCCTGTCGCTGCTTGTTCCCTTTACTTAGACCACTTCAAGTTTCAAATTGACCTGCACTGCGTCGGAGACTTTTTGTCGTGCCACATGACGGTGCATGTCCAAACACCGCTTTCATCAAAGTGGCCACACGTAAACTCCGCTAGAACATGTCTTTCCCGATAAAAGGCATGGCCCGCTCCTCTGACCTGTTTCGACAAACATGGTAAATTGTCAATGTTCCCTGTGCGTCCTTTGCGTCCCGTTGGTTCACCTGGTGCAACGAGCCTCGGCACGCACAGCAACGATACCGATTTTGCTTCCATTCATTGCACAGTGGCTGCCATTGCCTCATACACTTCTAGAAGCTCCAGCGGCATGACCGCGCGAAAGGCTTCTGGTACATTCGGAGCTAGGAAATCAGGGAGGTCTTGACCTTCTGCCACTGCATTGCTAGTACAAAACTGGCTCCACTGTTCTTCAACGTCTGTCTTTGCCCGAGCTTCTTCGGGCACCATGCTGCAAACAGAGCGTGTCTGGATTTGGTATCCAAAGCAGAACCTAGCGCTCAGCAAAATGCATCGCGCAAGTTCATGACTGCGGCACCTGCAGAGGATAACCAGCTGAAGGGGATGTGCTTTTTTCCAGACCCATACAACAGTACGCGTGCACAAGCTCAACCTTCTTCTCATCCAGGGTCTCCCGTATTGTGTAAGCTGGCCGCTCGGACCGACACAGCGGAATGTAGAACTCTGCAGTCCCAACAGTCACTGGGTCCCATTTGTGAACTGTCATCACGCAGGACAAGCTCGAACCTTGAGTGTGCAGTTCAGCTGCCTCCTGCGTCTGTCGGTAGCGCTCGAAAGCATTTCCAATTAGCACCTCAGCCATGTAATTCGGATCTGTGACGGCCGCGCGAACCGTGTCCAGAGCGTTGGGCAAAAGATGCTCTGCCCAGGTCTTCACAGACATATACGCCATCACCGGCACTTGAATGGTGGCATCCCGGACACCGTAACAGACCGTCAGGTTGTCAATGCGCAAAGCCGACCAAAATCGCTGGGTCAGCTCCCGTGTCGGTCGGTTGACGAGTCTCGCAACCATCCGTTCTGTTGACGGCCTGGGTCGACTTTCCATCTCAAAGGCAGGCAATGTGAATCTCTCAAAGTAGGTTGCGCTATGAGCTCCGGAGACATTTCCTCCGCTGGCCAATTCATTGACCGAAACTGCGTAGCCAATGTCGACACCGCATCGGCTGGCAACAGAGTGTTACTCAACCCAAGCAGCGTTCGCCACTGATCACACCAGAATAACCAAGGAATTTCAGGACGATACGTCCACCAGATGCGAGACTGAAAGTCGGCCTGCGTGATGTTCACACAGGTCACGACCACGCGTGTCCAAAGGATATGTCCAGAGATAGTCCCATGAGTAATTCTCTCACCTGGAGCCGCATCTTTCCGCAACCCCAAAGCTTCCCCAGCTTTCTTCTCCACACCTCGACTTGGCAGGGTCACTTCACCACGCAGGTCCTCCACAAAGAGATATGCTTGACGCTTTGCTCGAGTGAGGCTTGTGTAGACAAGCGGTTTCTCCAGCGCCAGACCTCGCCAAGCTTGGTCATCTTTCTGTCGGCGAAGGCTTAAACAAACGGCCACGTCGGCATTCGCCCCGCCTACACTGTAGGGTCCTCGAAATTGCCAGTCCGCCATATGGTTCAAGAGTTGTTCGACCGTAACAGCTGTGAGACCAACCATACCCTGTGCTGCGACGCACAGCGGTGGAACAACCACCTTCAAGAAGGCTTCCAGTGCACGCAATGGTCGCAACAGAAAGCCGGTCACGACAAAACTACTCCGCCGTCCCGTGTGTAGCGCGGAGAGGGTTTCGGCTGCCAGGACCACTGCAATGGAAGTGAACACCGTCACTCTACCGAAAAGGACTGGTATGAGCCATGTCCTTTGCGCAGCTGCGCTGACACACTCACGGAGCTCCTCCCCAAAGATCGTTTGCAGGTGCCCTATTGCTGGTTCCCCGGTTCGGAAAGTTTCTGTGTTCACAATTTTGTTGACATGCGGATGGTGCTCGAGCCAAGTTAATGCAGGATGCCATTGTAGGGGCTGCTCAAGTCTCGTGCCCAAAGTCTTCAAGGAAGCACCCTCTGGACTCAGCTGCGGTCGGCGTGCAACGCTCTGATGGGGATCACCTGCCAGCAGCGCAGCTTCGAACTCTAACAAGTTCACTGCTTCTCGTTCGCTAGGCTCGTTCATGTATTCATCCTGCAAAAGGACAAATTTACGGCATCCCTTCAGATCTTTGGCCCAGCCACTGCGCACGCTCGCGAGCTTTGTCAAGTATGACGTTGTGGCGCCAATGAGCACGAGCTGCTTCACAGCATCCTGCTTCTGTTTTGTCAGCACATTGTACACCGTGGTCTGCAGATGGCATCCCCGGCTCCGCGAGCACAGGTCCAGATGGATGGTCCACCTGGCGTTGGATTTCTCTCAGCATGGCGTCCACAAATGCATAAGCTGCAGAAAAAATCTGCCATTTCGTTTCTGCTGCTGCCTGCAAATGCTGCTGCAACAGATCTTCCTGTTTGTTTTCATCAAAACCCAGCATTGCCACAGTTCCGGGTGGAGCCATAGACCGAACAGCTTCCACAAAGTCGCGCACGACACGCTTGGTTGCGCTAACGAAAAAAATCAACGGGCGACTGCTCGCCCCTGCTTGCTGCACTTGGTGAATGCAGTAGAGGGCAATCACTGTCAGGAGGGTTGTTTTCCCTCCGCCGGCATAATTGTTGATCACCGTCAATGCGCATTGCAGGCTTCGAATGAGTTGCTTTTGCTTGTCAGTCAAAGCTATCCCCAACCGACTTTGAGCAAACTCAAACACTGGATCCCGCTGCAACCCTAGAAGTTCATTCCACACAGGTGTCACCTTGGCGATGTTGGCAGTACCCAGCCATGAGTGAAATGCTGGCGCCGGCGGAGAAGTATCAAACAAATGCAGTAATGTGGGATGTGCGAGTTGCAGAGCCGAAGCCGTCGCACGACTGCGACAAGCCAGCGCAATTGCGTGGTACAAAAAGACGTACTCATGGATGTCCGTCAATTGCACCACACAGACATCCGTGCCTTCGGGTACATTGCTCGGATCGAGACTTGGCTGCAAAATCAACTGATTGCCTCTAACATTGGACACGCCAATGACCACGTGCAACGAACCGGCCTCCCAGACCATTCCACGCTGGCGCTGTTGCACTTCTTCCACGGTTGAACGCGGGCACACCCACATATAGCAATTCTTGGGGCTGTCATTCACATCTTCGAGCATAATCAATCTTGCGACCAGCTCGCCATCGCTCCTCTTGTGTTCCGGTGTCCGGACAACAGCTGCTCTGGCCGGCCGCGCTGTGCCATGTTGGACAGCGTAGTGGACTTTTGTTGCAATTGCCGTAGCAACAAAATCAAACCTGTTCTCGTATCTGCCATGCCCCCTGGTCGCATCCAAGCGGTGAACTGGACTGTGGGCACTGTGCACCAAGCCCCCAGACTCGGCACAGCCGCTGGATTCGACCTCGCGACTTCCTGCAAGAAAGACTCGGTAGATGCCATCAAACTTACGTGGTGTGCAGTTGTCAGAAGCGTCGGTCTTGCCGCCGTGCAGCTGCGCTGTATTCCGCGCAGGTTGTCAGCAGCTGTGGTGAGGCGACGCTTTCTGCCCCTTCCTCTTTGGCCTTGACTCACCTGCTCCAGCTCCCGGCAAAGGCGCGCCATCGTCTCTAACAACTGGTCATCTTCTATCATGCTCGCTTCCAACACAGGCTCCTCCGACACTGGAAAACGAGCAGCCCGTGCAAAAGCATAGGCGCCACCTCCCGGCCCTTCAAACGTTCCAGAGACATCCATCGAAGGTGCTTCACACTCCACCACTCGAAATGGAACTGCAGAGGATGCTTTGGTGTGCCAGTCGCGCTCTTCTCGCAGCCTCACATACACTGTCGTGCTGCGCACACCTTCGCGAAGAATTCTCTGTACCTGCTCATTTTGGATGCCCGGTACTGGCAACGCATCATCCGGTCGTAGCCCCAGCACCACCAAGAGATCCATGCCGGCTGCACCCGCAACGCCCCGGTGTGTCAAAAGGCTAGAAAATCCACCTCGCATTGCATCTAGATCTACTCTCATATCACCTGACATTTACATTCACAGCATACATGCCAAAATAGCCATGCATCTACGTCCATCCTCGTTTCGTGCCACCTGACATTCATATCGCCAATAACAAACCCGGCTCCGAGAGCACAGGGTTTCTTTTCGAGCTCCAACCTCCTGCTGCGGACACGAACCGTTTAAAATTCTTACCGCACTTCAGTTTCCGACCCAGACTACCTCACGGCTCTCGCATCTGTCTCTTTCGCCGTCCATCTCTCTTTTCGGCTTCCTCGACTGAGCCCCTAGCTGGCCTCCTGCACGCCCTCCAGTTGCTTTGGCGCACCAACGTCATGAATTCGTTGTCCCTAGCACGAGAAAATCACAGCTACTGACAACTACACGGTGTTGGATCACTACACATACCAGTAGATAACCTTTAGAAACGTACAGCCATGCACCCTTTGAAGGTTTACATGAAATTGTATGAATATGGAAAACGTATCGGGGTTGGTATTAAGTGGGTACCTCGGGGGGTGCGATTTTATAGTGCTAAAATGCTGGTACCAACCCCCCTCCAATGAGGGTCACTTTTTGACCCTATAGAATTGAGGATAACATAGGAAAAGAGCCCAAATACAAGATTCAGCTCTATAGAATTGAGGGCCATTAGTCTGTCAAAAGCTGTTGAAAGTTGTGAATATTGGGGGCTTTTGTCTATAAAACTGCAGGTCCCAAGGTACTCCCGAACAGGTGTTGTCGAGTTGTAGTCTGAACCTGGTTCTCTGTAGAATCAAGGGCCATGGGTCTCAAAAATATCTATTAAAGCCTGTTTCTTTATAGAATCAAGGTCCATGGGTCTCAACAAAACATAAAATTCCAATTTCATTGGAAGGTATTGATTTGCCAGTTGGTAGGACCACAAATCTATAGAGAAGACAGCAGGTGTTATGGAGAGGATTGGAGAGGTAAGGATCTGTGATGATCTCTGATTTTATAGTGTCCAGATGTGTCCAAAAAAATGCTGTCCCCAAATCATCCACTTCTCCCCTGTCCCAAGTCATCCCAAACCGTCCAGAGGCTGCAAATGCCTGCAAATTGTTTTCCATTCCCCAGGGTTCTTTTGAGCAATCCCAATTGGAATCAAGCCAAGAAAAAGCAATCTCTATAGAATTGCAGGTCATGACATCCAAAATCATACAAATCATTCTCTATAGAATCGGTATGCCCAAGACATCCAAAATCCCTTCACTATACTTACAAGCCTCTATAGAATCAAGCTTATAAAAAACAACAGTTCTCTATAAAATCGAGGCTCTTGAAGGACAGGACTTTACAAGCTCCATATGAGCCAAGAAAAAGTGGCTAAAAAAAATGGTCTTATCGGGGACCCAACCCCCGCGATTCTATAGAGGAAATTCCATCCCCTATGAAAACGTATAGCATATACCCTTTTTCTATTTTCTCTTTCTCAAAGATGTATTCATTCACACCTGCATGAAGCTACAACGCATCGGCATCTGTAAAACTCCACCTTGCCATTCAGATGATGCAAATGATGCTACTTGCAATTCTTGCATCACCACCCCCTCAATAAAGACAAAGAATCACCTCTAAAACAACTTCAAACGCCTTATTCGGTGGATCCCCCAGCATCACCGACATTAGAATTTACGTAGCCCTTTCTCGGGCCACCCCTCCACACCCCCGACTTACTCACTTCGCTCGCCGAACGCGACTCGGTTGCCGCCTTCTACGAAAGCTCGCTGTTGCCAAAAAAAAGTTTCGCGCCTGCTCACCTAAGCTCCTGGCCCATTGCATGCGCGCCGCCCACAACCATCAGATGACCCCTCCTCCTTCTGACTGCTTCTTCACACTCGAACCCGCTATCCTAAACAACACGATCGGGATGCAGCTTTGGCAATGGTAGCTTGGCTTCACGATGAGGAAATCAATTTTTCTACTGGCGCCATCGATGTGGCAGGAGTCTGTGAGCATGAATTAACCTTCACGCCTTGAAACATAAACTCTCTCAAATGACTGTACCTTCTGACTGCTTCTTCGCACTCGCGCCCGCTACCCCAACCAACACTTTCCCGGCTCCGAGAGCACAGGTTCCTGCGGACCAATCTCGCTTTCGTAAACATGCCTCCATGCGCTCCCCCCCCCAGAACCATCGAATGGTCCCTGCCTTTTTCCGATCCTGAATATTAGCTTTTACGCCTTACAACATAAACTCTCTCAAATGACTGTACCTTCTGACTGCTTTCTCACACCCCAGACAACACTTTCCCGGCTCCGAGAGCACAGGTTCGACCTGTGCGGGCGGCTTCGAAGCGGTGTGAATAGTTCATAATTGTTTAAAAAAGGAAACAAATAATATAGACTATAAAGAAAATGACCCAATACATTTAATAAATAGTTCTAAGATTGAAAATACAAGGAACCTGAATGGCTCTGCCGTCGTCGCTACCTTGGCCCGCTGTCTGTGCCAAAGCTTCGCTTCCTCGATCTCACGTAGCACATATTGGGGAGCACATGCGCGCGGCCTGGAGACTGGTTGAGAGCGGCCATGAGCGGCCACTTTGGTGGAAAACCATGAGATTTGGTGGGTCGGATGGATTTTCCTTGTGGTTTAAAACGAGAAGGCGGGATCTTCGATAGGTGAAGGGATATATAGCTGGAGCATTCAGAAGCTTCTTTCGAGCGTCTGGGAATACGAAAGAGGGGTCCGGTGTGAATTGGACCTGTCTCCAAAAACCTGCTTCAATCAAATAAAGAACCCTGCTGGGGGCGGTCATATTGGGCCCATCAAACAAATTGCAGGTGACGATGATTGGTCTGATCAACTTGCAAAACTGCCCGCCGCGCTCTTGGAGTTCTGCTTTCAAAGATTTGGCGAAAGGATGGGAAAGGTGTGCTTTGCACCGGTCGACCGCAGCCTCGTCACAGGCCGACCGCGGTCGAGCGTGGCGTTCAGCGCGCGCAGCTGTTTCAGCGCGGCGAAATCGCGGAAATCGGCGAAGTTGCCAGTGTTTGCCGAGGCGTCCATGGGAGGCGAATTCGGTGGGCACAGTGGGTTCCAAGGGTTGAAAAAGTTCAAGAATCTTGTGGATTCTGCTTTTCATTTCTCACTGTCAATCAGATGGGTCTCATGACTCATGGTTCCACTGGTCATCACTGATCTTATATGATTCAAGCTGAAGTCTACTAACGTATATATCCAGCTCACCAATGTCCAACTAGCTCTTCTGACCGCAAGGGTCACAAGGACTCTTGATGAAGAGCGGCATGTTGCACCAGCAACGGAGCATCTGCACATGCAAGATCAGTTGACAGTGTTTCATGCTTTGTCCGACCATCTTCTGCAAAAAAGAGGTGTGACATGTGCCAGATGTGCCAGGTGCCAGGCGCCATCCTGGCGCCATCCAGCCAACTTCTTTGGAAAACACGACCCCTCTCTTTGCACGCGACCCAAATGCGGGTCCCGCCTGGCCCGGGCCACTCTTCACACCTGGCACGAGTCCGAAGTCAAACGGGCGGCCCAGTCCGGGTTCTTTATGGCCGAAGATGGAAAGAAACCATGTGTGGTCGTATCCCAGAGCAATAAAAAGGGGAAACGACGAAACACGGATTGTGTATCGGAAATTCTCGTTCATGGCCGAGATGATCCCCATTGGCACTGGGTGGTGGCCAACTTAGTCAACGCATCCTCTTTCCCTCGGGACTTACGTATCGAAAGACAAACAATCTGAGGGTCTGTCGCTCCGTGCTACTTTCGACCGGCCAGAAACCCAAGACGATTCACAAAAGGCGGAAGCCCGCTTTGGTTTGAGGTAGGGGTAACATAGAATATCTCCAATAAAAGTCCCCCAAATAATCCCCAATAAATACAGAAAAAAGACACTGTGTCCGACTGGGTCCAATAGAAGGGTGCCCGAAAGAGAGAAAAAAAACCGAAGAAGGCGCTCTTCTTCTAGAACTTCTGCCTCTCTGCCGTTGGAGCTCTGACTTCTGCGGTCGGTCGTCACGGTGGAATCCATCCGAGCCCGACCCCATCCGCAGCGAGCGTCCGGCCTGTGGCCTCGACCATTGCGGCGGAGCTCGCGCTGGCCGCGCCCGCGGACGCGGCGGAGCTCGCGCGAGCGGCCGCGCCCGCGGCCTGGAGGGGAGGGCGTAGCATGTGTCGCATCAAAGAATGACACGTGTCACATCTGGGTACCTTGAAAACCCAACCTTGCCATGTTTTTGTCATCGGCTGATTTGGAAGCAAAAAACGCACTCTTTCAAGCAAAAGTGTAATCGGGAGTGAAAAGTGCTATAGTGTCTTCCTGGCCCATTTCAGTGGACACAGATCCACTTCAAATTGACCCTTCAAACCTGACAAACTTGGGCCATATTTTTGTCCGGGTATTTCCGCCTTTGTTCCGCCGATTTCCGCCTTTTGGACGGGTATTTCCGCTCTTGTTTTTTGGTGTTTCTTTTGAGCCCGGTGGCTGGGAACCCTTTGGATGCGGTTTCTCATGCAACATGTTTGGTATCTGTGAAATACCAAAAAGTGTATGTTGGGATCTGTGAAGTTTAGAAAGTCTCATTATTTCACAAAACATTGTTTTTCCAAAATGACTAAAATAATGCACACTGATGGTTTACTAGGTAGTCATGAGTCCAGGGGGTCTCAGAGTCTCTCTTCACCTCTGAAGAGTCCGAGATCCACGAAAACACCCACCCCATCTGCCATTGAAAAAGGTCTCCGATGGGTTTTTGTGGCGTTTGGTGATATGTTCAACTCGGCTCGAAATAGTAGTTTTAAAAAAAAAAAATATATATATATATACATACATACAAAAAAACATCAAAAAAACATCTCATCCAACAGTGATCCACAGTTCTTACCACCAAGTTTTCTTACGAAAAGCCGTTCTCCACCTGAAGAGTTGGTGCGCCACGACCCATCCGCTGTTTTCTGTTTCACTTCGCAAGCTTGCTCGTGGTTGGTTGGTGCACGCAAAGAGAAAAGTCTTTCACAGAGATTTCCTGCAGGCTGCTTGGTAGGCTAAGGCCTGAAAGGTCCTGATTAAACTTCAAACATGACAAAGACTGCAAGCTGCCGGGCAGAGCAACATGTTTCAAGCCTTCGGCAAATCTTTGGCCAAAGGTCAAAGTCTGCAAGCTGCTTGGCAGTGTGACATCTTCCAAGCTCTGGTCAAAGCTAAAACCAAAGGCCAAAGTCTGCAAGCTGCTTGGCAATGAGACACCAGTAAAGCTCTGATTGAACTTCCAGCCGAAACTCAGTGTCTTCAAGCTCTCTGGGAAAACAACATCTGCCAAGCTCCGGTTGAAGTCGTAGCCGAAGGTTAAAGTCTGCAAAGAGCTTGGAAAGGTGACACCGTCCAAACTTTGATTGAACTTCTCTCCGAAAGTGAGGGTCTGCAAGCTGTCTGGCAAGGAGACTCCGTCCAACCTTTGATTGAACTTCTCTCCCAAGGTCAAGCTCTGAAGGCTGCTCGGCCACGTGATACCTGCTAAGTTCTGGTCAAACTTGCTGCCAAAAACCAAGGTCTTCAGGCTGCTTGGCAAGGTCGCACCTACCAAGCTTTGATTGAAATTCCAACCAAATGTCAATTTTTGAAGGCTGCGTGGAAGTGCGACATCTTCCAAACTTTGATTAAAATCGAGGTTGAAAGTCAAAGATTCCAGGCCGCTGGGCAGCATCACTCCTGCCAAACTCTGATTAAAGTCTCCGCCAAAGCTCAAAGTCTGCAGAGTGATCGGAAGCACAACATCTGCCAAATCCTGGTTGAATCGACGTCCGAAGGTCAAGAGCTGGAGGCTGTTTGGTAGCGTAACGCCTGCCAAGCTGTGGTTGAACTTTTTGCCGAAGCACAAAGTCTGCAAGCTGTTCGGCAGCATGACACCTGCCAAGCTCTGGTGAAATTCATCGCCGAAGGTCAACGCCTGCAAGCTCTTTGGTAAGGTGAGACCCTCTAAGTTCCGATTGAAAGAATTGCTAAAGGTCAAGGATTGCAGACTGGTGGGCAGGTTGACGCCATCCAACCTCTCGCTTGGTTCAGAGCCGAAGGTCAAAGTTTGGAGATTGCTTGGCAAAGTGGCACCGACCAGGCTCTGTTTGAAATTCTGGCCGAAAGTCAGAGTCTGTAAGCTGTTTGGCAAAGTGACACCTTTGAAGATCTGGTTGAATTTGTTGCCAAATGTAAGGGTTTGCAGGTTGACTGGCAAGGTGATGGGTTCCAACCCTTGGTTAAACTCCTCCCCAAAAGTCAGAGCTTTGAGACTAGTTGGGAACGTGACACCTGCCAAGCTCTGGTTAAAGGCATCACCGAAAGTCAACGTCTGCAAGCTGTTCGGCAAGGTGACACCTTCGAAGCTCTGGTTGTAGAAATAGCCAAAGGTCAAGGTCTGCAAGTTGTTTGGTAGTGAAACAAACGCTAAGCTCTGGTTAAACTCATAGCCAAAAGTCAAAGTCTGCAGACTGTCTGGCAGCATGACACAGTCCATGCTTTCATTGAATTTATGGCCGAAGGTTAAGGTCCGCATGCTTGGTGGCAAGGCGACATGTTGCAAGCTCCTGTTGAAAAAATGGCCAAAGGTCAAAACTTGAAGATTCTCTGGAAAAGTGACCGTATCTAATCTCTGGTTGAAGTCTCCGCCGAAGGTCAACATCTGCAAGCCAGCCGGGAACGCGACGGCTGTCAAGCTCTGGTTGAAGGTTTGACCAAAAGTCAAAGTCTGCAAGCTGCTGGGCAGCCTCACACTTTCCAGGCTCTGATTGAAGTCCTCACCAAAGGTCAATGAGCTAATCGTATCAATGGCATTTATATCCTTCTCACTCAAAGCTTGATCAAGGGTGAAGGCTTCGAATGCATGCTGGAAACTCGCCGCTGCGTCACCTGCCCCGACAAAGTTGTAGCAAACCACAAAAGTCACCTCTTCATCATGAAGTTGTTGCAAGAGCGGTTGTGAAACATCAAGAACATTGCCACCAGAAGTTAGTTTGAGCATCCCAGCCACTTCGACACCAGCCCTTTTTGCGATGCTGCTGGAAAGATCTTCCACCTTTGATGCTGCTGAGCTCCAGATATTCACAAGTGTTCCGAGTCTGAAAAGAAAAAACGACTCTGAAAGCAATGTAGGAGACTCTGTTTGGTGATCACTCTGTTTGGTCGATGCAATTCCACGACCTTCGACCTTCTTGTTTGTTTGATTTTCTCCCGGAGATCCCCGCGGCCGATTGGGTCTCTGGGTCAGGGGGGTCTCATTCCCATCGGCATGTCTGGGGGATATCGACACCCGAGGTCCCGAGCCCAGTGGATGATGAGAAGCAGACGACAATGCAGGCCTTTCTCTAAATGACAGACGACTGTGACCCGTTTACTGGGACAGACTCTATACATCTGTGTGAGAAAAATATGTCTTATGAACATTGATTGAAAGGGGGGTTGGTTGCTCTGGTGACTCTGGTCACAGGTCAGCGTCAGCAAACACTCAACGGAAAGAAATTCTTCGAAGCATCCAGGCCACTGTCATACTGTTGTCCACCTGCAGATCAAATGTGGAGCCATCAAGACCTTGAATCTTCAAGGAGTGCATCGTCCCCGTCGTGGTCGACTTGTTCGTGGCCTCTGCAACGAGCCTCGGGACCAAGGTCGGTGCGAGTGGCCAAGCGGTGAAATCGGCGGAAGAAAAGGTCGGGCAGCATTTGGCTTCAAGTCCAGCTGGATTCCTCAAAGTCCTTTAAAGGGTTCATACTGTAGGTCCCATTGGTTAGAAGTGGTGTTTTCTTTACGTTTAGCCAATTGGCCCATCCTGTCATGAGTTCTTTGGTTCTTCCCACCAGAGCAAAAGGCGAAAATCGTGGGCCACAGACCGTAATCCATCAGGATGAATCTCATGATCCCAGAAGCCTACAACGTCGTTGCTGTTCTTCATCCCTACAAACATCGAACCAAACAATAGCTCTTCACACATGTTTCTTCCAAACCTCACCCTCTTTGGAGAAGCGATGGCCTCCAACCTACTAGGCAACCCAGTAGCGATGGCCTCCTGAAACCTCAACCAAAAAGAATCGACCTTCATCGGCCCAAGCCACTCGCCCGCACGCTGCAGCACTCGTTTGGCCCGCTCCAAATCCTCTGCGATGAAGGCCCGCAGAGTGACATCGACGTGGGCATCGTCCTGATCACGGGATTTCGTCCGCTCCTGCTGGGTGCAATTGCAAGGCATCCGTAAAATGTTTGGCTTGGCGCCTCACATGAGTGTAGTAGAAACCCTTCTGTTTCCCAGCATATTATGGTAAAGTCTAAGACACCTGAAAGCTACTGCTATCTGAACTGTAACTATAGGCTAATACTAGTAGGGTATATAGGTTGATGATGCCCGTTGTAGGTCAACCTGGTGGCTGTGGAAGCAGACAGCCGTTGGCAACTACCTCCGCGGACCCCGCAGTCCGTTCGGCGTTGACGCTCCAGTGAGGGTCCGATCTCGAAATGTCCAGTCGTCGCACGCAGACCCTGTTTTTTGTGACATGAAATTCTCCAACCTATTAGCGATGGCCTCCACTCTATTAGTGATGGCCTCCACCCTAGTAGCGATGGCCCCCGCCCTGTTTTTTTTTGGTGACGTGGTCAATCTTGCACGCCGTGACTTTGGTCAAGAAACGGTCAAAGTCCTCTGCTTTTGACTTATACTTATACCTTCGCTTTGATTTGGGGTGGTGGACATTGCTGTCGACGCTGCGACGAAACTAGGCGACTTCAGAATGCACACTCACATAGAAGCCTAGAGTTAAGCGGCTATACAGATTGGGTGACTCAGATGGTTTTCTAGGCGCAAGCGCGCTCACAGGCAAGTTGAGGGAGTGATGTCTGGCACCAAATTGACAATCCCAGAAACATCTTCCACATGGTTGAGTTTAGTAGCAAGTGCATCGCTACTAGGGGCAAGTGCTTTACTAGTAGTAACAAGAAGCTATTAGAAACAAGTGCGCCGCTTCTAGAAACATGGTTGAGGGACACGCTGTGGATCGTGACATCGCCAAGAATCGAAGCGGTTCCCGTCGCTGATGGCACTGGCGCCAGCGCCCATGGCAGGTGTGGCTGTTCCAATGGAGAACGGGTTTCGAATCGTTCTCTTTTCTCAGTTTGTAACATGTTAACCTTAATTATGATCTAGATATATATAATGATCTGTATTCCAAAATCGTCCACCGTCGCCCTTCGGTGGTTTCGTCCATGTCTTTTTCAGACCGTGCTGGAAACCACGGACCACAGACCACAGACCGTGCAAAGAAGTTCGGCCGTTTTTGCTCCGGCCATCGCTTCCGAATATAACCGGTTACCTCTCATGCCTTTCCACATCGTGGCGAAGGCAAAAAGAAAAGCAACAGTCAGACGCTTTCCAGCAATTCTGTTGGAAGCCGCCTGGGGCGCGGCTGGCTGGCCGAGGTCGGTGCCTGAGAGGGTCGGTTGCTGGCTGGCGAGCGGGAGTCGTTGGAGGCTACTTGGTAGCCTGTTCATGGCCTGAGTTTGACTCTGCGCGTGTAGCCCTCCCTGGAAGAAACGTGGAAGTGGCGTGTAGCCCTCCTTGTACCATGAAATCCGAAGAGCACGACGCCGTATTCGATTCCACCGGGTCCGGGTCGACGATCGAAGCGGGTCCGGTCCGTGGGCGCCTGCGGTGCGGGTGGTGGCCTGGCGGGAAGAAAGGCCGGGCGCCGTGTCGGGCGAGTGTTTGGTTCATGAATCGATCAAGAATATTTGGGACTGGGCCATTCTAGAGATTCCTTTGGATCATGTGGATTCATTTGGATCGAATTCTGGAATTCTCTTGGATTCTCATTCCTCCACTGACCAAGCCGTGCTTAACACGTGTAAACACGGTGCTCAACACTCTGTCTGTGTCGGGCGCGTTCCTCAGCACTCCAGTTCCATCACTCCCAGCAGTCCGGCGTTGTTTTCCACTCAGTCATTTAACTGAGAACACTCAGTCACTGAGTTCTTCACACATGGACACTCAAAGAGAACGCCGCCACGCTGACAGACTCCAAGCGGCTCGGCTGGCTCAGCTTGAGACTGCCCAAGGAGTTCATGTCAAAACGACTGCCAAAGGTCAAAGTCTTGAGGCTGCTGGGGAATGTGACCCCTGTCAAGCTCTTGCTGTAGCCTTTGCCCAAGGTCAAAGTCTGCAGGCTGCTTGGAAGAGTGACATCTTCCAAGCTCTGATTGAATTTGTAGCCGAAGGTGAGGGTCTCTAGGCTGCTTGGCAAGCTGACATCTATCAAGCTTTGGTTGAATCGCATACCGAAATGCAGTGCTTTGAGGTTACCTCCGGCTTGAGACACCAGGGTGTCAACAAAAATAGATTTAACAATGTTCAAATGTTGGCTTAAAAGCAACACTCACAAAAAGCCAACGCCAGGCAACTTGGTAGAACCACATTGGTGAGTTTCTTGTCAAAGCTTCCACCAAAGGTCAAGGTCTCGAGGCTGTCAGGCAAGGTCACACCAGCAAAGCTCTGGTCGAAAGTATCGCTGAAAGTCAGTGTCTGCAGGCTACTTGGCAAGTTGACGCCTTCCAGGCTCACATCAAACCTGCCACCAAAGGTCAAGTTCTGCAAGCTGTTGGGCAAACTGACACCTTCCTTGAAACGTTCGAATTCACCGTTGAAGGTCAAAGTCTTCAAGTTGGGCAAAGTGACGGCTGCCAAGCTCTGGTTGAACCGTTCACCAAAGCTCAAACTCTGCAGAGTGCTGGGCAAATGGATCCCTTCCAAGGGTTGGTCAAAGGCCTCAGCGAACTCTAAAGTCCGCAAGTTGCTTGGCCAAGTGAGACCGTCCAACGTCTGGTTGAAGTCATTGCCGAACTTCAAGGTCTGAAGACCACTTGGAAGCGAGAGACCTGCCACGCTCTTGTTGAATCGTTGAGTGAAGATCAAAGCTTCTAGGTCGCTTGGTAGAGCCACGCCCTCCATGTACTTGTTGAAATAGTCACCGACTTTCAATGTCCTCAAGCCACTTGGCAGAGTGACACCAACCAAGCTTTGTTCGAAATGCTCGCCCAAGGTCAAGGTCTCGATGCTGCTTGGCAGACTGACACCTGCCAGGCTCTGGTTGAAAAACAAAGCAAACGTCAAAGTGCGCAGGTTACCTTGGATTCGCTTGAGTGGCCAAAAGTAATTCATACGGCACGGTAGAGATTTCCCGATAATTGCAGGAGGTAAAAAGTATATAAATCATGACATCATCACAAGTTGTCCCAAGCTACTTGGCAGTGAGACACCTTCCAAGCTTTTGTCATAATCCCTGGCGAATGTCAAGGTGTGCAGGCTATCTGGCAACGTGACACCGTCCAAGCTCTGGTTGAACTTTTCACCAAAAGTCAAAGTCTGCATGCTGCTTGGAAGCGTGACACCGTCCAAGCTCTGGTTGAACTTTTCCCCAAAAGTCAAAGTCTGCATGCTGCTTGGAAGGGTGACACCGTCCAAGCTTTGGTTGAATTGTTCACCAAAGAACAAAGTCTGCAGGGTCTGTGGAAGGTTTACACCCTCCAAACTTTGGTTGAAAGCTCTGCCGAAGATCAATGTCTGCAGGCATTCCGGAAGCTTGACACCCACTAAGGTCTGATCAAAATCCCGGTCGAAGGTCAATGAACGAAGGTCACTTGGTAGTATGACACCTACCAAGGTTTGGTTGAACTTCTCGCCAAAGGTTAAAGTCTGGATTCCACTCGGAAGCATGACATCTTCCAAGCTTTGGTCAAACTTTTCTCCAAAGGTCAATGCTTGCAGTCTGCTTGGCAGCCTGAGACCTGCCAAGCTTTGATCAAAACTGTTGGTGAAGCTCAATGAAGCAATGGCATCAATTATCTTTCCATCTGCCACGCTTAAGGCTTGGTCAGTGCTCCCTTCTAGTGCACGATGGAAACTCGCCGCTGCTTCTGATGCACCTACCTTTTGGACCACATATGTCACTTCCTCATCTTGGAGTTGCTGCAACAGCGGCTGTGCAGCATCAAGAACATTGCCACTGGACGTCAGCACCAAACGTCCGCCAGACGTGTTCACATCAGCTTTCTTCTCGATCTGACTGGAGAGATCTTCGACCTGAGGCAACGTTTGAAAAGGACGAGAAAACATTGAAGGGAGGCAACGATGCACGATTGTATGCAATTGTATACTTCCACACTGAAAATTCGACAATTCCAGGCTCTTCAAAGTTGCCTTTTGACGGAAAAACTCGTTTGGTCACTGAGACAGCAAACGCATCTCCGTAAAATCATGGTAAAAGAGCCTGGATAGCCATCTTTGAAGAGCCTGGAACCGGTGGCGAAAGTGGCGTCTGAAGTGGCGAACTAAGCTGCTGTCATTGCATGGTCAACTTGAAGTTCAAACCCTGCCCCATTGAGGCCTTGAACCTTCACAGACCGCGTGCCAGTTGAGGCTCCCATCACCTCTGCCAGAAGCCTCACAGTCTGCACAAAAACGAGGTTCCTCGTTTTCCTCCACGTCATCCAGCCGTTTCTGGTTGGGGTTCCTGTCATAACTCTCGTCTTTCTTGATTTGCGCATCCGTGACGCCGCCCCCAAAAAATAGATCTTCCATGCCATGCATAACAGAAGAAAAACCCAAGACCAAACCCATGGACTTCGGTTCACCCATCGAGTTCGGTGTCAAACGCTCTCTCTCGGTCCACCGAGGCGTCCTCGTCTCGTCGGGAGACCGAGCGGAGTCGGGAGACCGGCCCTGTGCCACAGAAGTGGTTTGGTGGATGTTTCTACATGGGTTACAGTGTGTCTTTTGAGCTTGGTTTTATGTTTTCTCTTGTCCGGCTCTCATGTTCTGCTCGACCTTTATCCGTCGGTCCGAAACAAAAATCAACAGTACCCCCTCCCAAAAAAGTGCAACAAAAAGAAGACACCACACGTACCCAGGAACCCCCTCGTACCAACCAGGTGACTCCTCTGCACGCTGTAGGAGCTGCTTGGCCCGCTCCACGTCTTCGACGATGAAGGCCCGCAGCGCTGCGTCGTCGGCGTCCGCCGCGGCGCTCGCATTCGCGCTGCCACCGGCGCCCATGGGGAGTGCGGGGGAGAGAGCGGGGTCGTCGCAACGGGTGAAACCAAGTGAAAGGTGGAGATTCAGACTACTCAGTGACTACTCTCCTTCCAAAGAATCTCAGTTGGTTTCAAGGAATCAACTGAACACTTGATGAGAGTGAACTGCTTCGAGCAGCTGCGAGAGTGAATCAAACCTCTCGTGACAACGTCGACAACGAACAGCGACACCATCATAATTTATGATACATCATGGTATGACCCAATATGATCCAGCATATCAAGGTTTATTGCTGCAAGACATGGGTTTAAACCTTGTATGATCCATAGCATGATCCATCATGATCCAAAATGATTCGGTATGATCCATCAATATGATCCATCATTACATTACATGTGTTTTTGCACAACATGGGTTGGCACCTCTGCACCCACTGTCACCACACTGCACTTCTCTCACGCGCGTAGCGACGACCCAAAAGCGTCCCTGTGCCTGCGCATCGTGAACCACGCGCGGCGTTAAAGCTTGTGTGTCAGCACCACCTCAAAGCCATCACCGTCAGTCCTCCCCCTTGATGGTTGCGAAATTCATCATATGCAAATATACCATACATGGAGTGTCAAAGTATGAGATGAATATAGATGGCCTGGAATTGTTTTTTCGCCATCTTTGGACTACCTCCCGTTCAAGCGAGCAGGCTTCAAGTAGTCTCACACATCCCATGGTGTCCCCCAAACAACGACATAGCATGACATGGCTGCGGGTCAAAACCCCGAGCCCCAAACCAGGGTAGGTTGACTTCCAGGTAGTCTATTCTGTTCATTCCTGGTGGTCAAACGAGGTGTTTCTGTTTTGACCCAAAGCCACATACCATGGGACCACTGGGTGAGCTGTGGACCACTCACCACCCCAATGCCGCCTGGACGACGAAGCATCACACGCGCTTTCACGGCGCTTTCTGATCCACGGCGCTCTGTCACAGCCCTTCCCCAGGCCAGGGGGGATACAGGAGGGTAGGATGTACACAAACACTGTAACAAAAAGATGCAATAACCGCAAAAGTCATACTGAAACAACAGCCTGCTCCCATCCAAACAGGGGTCAATTGGGCTCTATAGCTATAGGCTATAGGCAAATAGCTGACTCAGACGTGGAGAAAACCATCAAACCCATCAAACCCAAGTGCCGTTGTCAACCATCCATTCCTTGGCAACTGATCAAAGCAACAGAATGTCCATCGCTCGCGGCGCCTCTGGCACCCGTCGTCGCCTACAAAGGCCCGTGGTCGAGTCCGGTTCTGTCGGGATTGGTCGTTTTTGGTGGGTTTCAGTTTGGAGATCCCATTTTGGGGGTAGTATATAGAAGATCTCTCCTCTCCTACACTATACCCTCTTTTTGAAAAATTGTGCGTGTGCCTAAAAAGGTTCTGGGGCTGGTTAGTTTGATGTTAGGGTCTGTTTGGGTTCGTAGCTTGAACTTTTGTTGGGAGTTTTGCGTGTTTTCCTTGCTGCTGACGTTCTTGCTTCGATGCCTCTGGGTGTTTTAGTTTGGGGGGTTCGATGCCTCCGATGAACTTCGCATTTGCGGGCTCGAGGTTTGTCTATGTATGTTTCATAGTAGGTTGGAGGCCATCGCTGGTAGGTTGGAGGCCATCGCTAGTAGGTTGGAGGCCACCGCCAGCGCCAGTAGGTTGGAGGCCATCGCTAGTAGTTTGGAGGCCCATGGCAGACATTCTTATGTTTTCCATTGTCCTACTCAATCCCAACGCTGTTCAATGACACGGGTATATGATTTGCAAGGTTCATTCAATTCATAGTGGAGAAACATGCAACACGTGAGTTCCTTGCCATCAATGATACACCGTATTGGTCTGCGTTGGGGTTTCATTCATCCATGTGATAGCATCAAACTTTATAAACAAAGAGATCGTAACTAGTAGCGATGCCCAAAATGCTCCGTTCGTAGCGTCGCCAATTTCAGCCCGTCAACTTCTCTGTCCTCGGACTTGCAGCTTTGCCAAAAAGGTCAGGTCGACCAAACACCCACACAGTTCAGCGGACGCTTCGACCCCCATCGTTCGACCGTTCCTTAAGACGACCGTTCCTTCGAGCCGAGGAGTTCCTTCGCCGTCGCCTTCGATCCTTTTGGGTCGATCCGGCGATCGCCGGCATCACTCAAGGAGGTGCAAACTGAATTCGCGCAAGCCCCAGATGGAGCGCAAGCTACTTGGAAATTGGACATCTGCCAAGAACTTCGCGAAGTGGTCGTAAGTCGTCAAGGTCTGGAGGCTGCTGGGAAGAGTGACACGCTTCAAACCGTTGAAGAAACCTCTCCCCAAGATCAACGTCTGGAGGTTGCTGGGCAAGATGACATCGTCTAATGTCTGGTTGAAATCAGTGCCAAGCCTTAGTGTCTCAAGGCTGTTGGGCATATCGGACAAGCTCTGATTAAACCTGGCACCGAAGCTTAACGTCTTCAGAGTGCTTGGCAAAGTAACATGTTGCAAGCTCTGATTGAAGGCATCACCAAAGTTCAAACTTTGCAGGTCTTTTGGGAGTGACACTCCTGCCAAGCTCTGGTTGAACGTAGAGCCGAAGGTCAAAGTCTGTAAGCCGCTTGGCAGTAGGACACCTGCCAAACTCTGATTGAATTTATCGCCGAACGACAGCGTCAGCAGGCTGCTTGGCAAAGTGACACGTCTCAAGTCCTGGTTAAATTCACTGCCAAAGGTCAAAGTCTGAAGACTGCTCGGCAATGTGTCCAAGCTGTCGTTGAAATGTCCCCCGAGTTCTAGCGTCTGCAGGCAGCTTGGTAAAGTGAAATCTTCGACGCAACGGTTGAAATGCTGTCCAAACGTCATCGTGTGCAGGCTACTTGGCAACTGGATGTCTGCCAAGCTCTGAAAGAATTCATCACCAAAGTTCAAAGCTCGTAGGCCACTGGGCAGTGAGACTCCCGCCAAGCTCTGGTTAAACCAAGTGCCGAAGGTCAGACTTTGCAAACTGCTGGGCAGTTGGACGCCAACCAAACTCTTATTGAAGCGATGATCAAGCTTCAATGTCAGCAAGCTGGTCGGCAGTGTGAGCTGGTCTAAGCTCTGGTTGAATTCACTTCCAAACACCAAGGTTTGTAAGGTGCTTGGAAGCACAACACCTTCCACGCTCTGGTTGAAACTTTTGCCCAACGTCAGCGTTCGCAGCTCTGTCGGCAGCATCACACGGGCCAAGTTGTGGTTGAATCTCCCAGCCAGATTCAAAGTCTGCAGGCTGCTTGGCAGATTGACACCTTGCAAGCTTTGGTTGAAAAAGTATCCGAAGGTCAAAGTTTGCAGGCTGTTTGGCAGCATGACACCTTTCAGGCTCTGGTTGAACTCTAGGCCGAAGGCCAAGCTTCGAAGGCTGGAGGGCCATGAAATACCTTCCAAGCTCTGATTGAAAGCATCGCCAAAGTTCAAAGTCTTCAGGCCGCTTGGTAATGCTACCCCATTCAAGCTCTGGTTGAACAACATGCCGAAGGTCAAGTTCTGCAGGCTACTTGGCAACACCACATCTCTCAAGCTCTGGTTGAACTCATGTCCAGTGACCAACGTCTGGAGGCTTTTCGGCAGCTGCAGACTTCCTAAGCTTTTGTTGAACTTATCTCCCAAGACCAACGATCCGATGGCATCGAGCGCCCAGACCTTCGTGACCTCATCCGCATCGGGCCGTCGCTCCTCGTCTAAGACGCAGCGCAAGGCTTGGAGCGCGTCGCCTCGCGGATCACCAGGGATCGCCATTCTTGGTTTATTCCTATACCATCCTATACCCAGACCATCACCGGAACACATGGTCTGGGTGTGGGATATGCATCACCGCAAGGACCGTCATCCACTCTGAGTTGGGAGCACAGGTCCACCATGGTCAACCCAAACCTGGGGTCGTCGGCCTCAACACCCACCCGGGAGGGTAGCCACCATGATGGGTCAACTGTCAGTGCGAACTGTTAACCCTCAACACCAGCGTTGTGGCAATCTACACATGTTTTTCAAGAACCCTTCTGACATATTTATAATATATATATATATCGTATATATATATATAACATATATATATAACATATATATATAACATATATATATATATAACATATATATATTACATATAGTATATAATAGAGAGTCATATAGTTTGCCCAAGACAAGTTGTCAAATGTCAAAGCATACAAACTGCAGTTCTTTGGGTCTTGGAGATGAGTTCCATCTGCGAACGGTTCGGGCGATGAGTTGATAAACCCTCACCCCCGCGAATCGCCCCGGTGACCGGGCGCAGCAAAATCCTGAGACCAAACAGTTTCGGAGTAGATGGTATACCAAAATATGGTACTATGGTATAAATATGGTATACAGTGTATACAGTATACTCCTGATCCTGATGAGTATATGGTATACCAAACATATCTACTCCTGATTCCCAAATCCTCATGACAGTGGTTTGGAGTAGATGGCACAAAACCCCTATACATGTCTTAGACAGATGAGGCTCCAAGCAATTCACCACCAAACTCGGGGGCCCAGACACAACAAAACCATCGAACCCCTGGAAACCGTAGATGTAAAAACAAACGCTCAACACTTCACGTGACTTTTGGGGGGGGCCTGTAAAACCGACCCGCCCCTTTTCTGCGGATGAAAGAATGAAAAAGCCTCGCCTATGTGCACCGGCTGAGCAACATAGGTGATCTCATCATCATCCACTTGTGGCAGTACTGGCTTGGACACCTGCAGATGTTGAAACTCCAAGCTGCTGTCATGTGAATGCGACATCAGCTCCCCAGAGGCATCGAAACAAACCATGGAGGAAAGCCGGGCGATGCATCGATGGAGTCGCCGTTCAGCGCCGTTGTCCAGCGTTTTTCAACCGAACGCCGATCGTAACCCTAGTACGTACGTAGACTCTCAGACCTCTGCCTCCCTCCCCCCCAAAAAAAAGAACAGGAATTTGGCCAGCATAGACCCCAAACAGTTGAACCCCAACAGTCAACTGTTTGGGGAAATCAACAGGCGGTCAGGTCGCCTCAAGGACCTTGCCACCAGACGTGAACACCAGGCGGCGACCCGCTTTGATGGAAATCTTCGTCGTGATGAGTTGGAACAGATCTTCCACCTTGGAAAGGTCGAAGCGCACTGCGAGCAGCGGAACAGGGGGCGGGACGTGCTGTCCATGAGGCTATCAAGTGAAGCGTCTTGAAGCAAATCCATCCCAAGGGAAGAAATCCGCCCGCACCGGAGGTGCCGAGGGCGTTGTGTAGGCTCGTGTAAGTCGCAAGGAGTCCGGCTAGATACATCCTAAGCTTTAGCTTGGGAGGGGGCATTTTTCTCCTAGAAATGCTGCGCTTTTCAATGTTTTTTGAAAATTGACCCACATTGGACAATACGTTTGCGATGCTTGTTGTGCCGGTCGGTACAGATCGCATTATTGACATCGCATACATCTCGCCAAGCCAAGGAGCACTGCACTATGGATATGCGATGCCAGTTATGCCGGCCGGGAGAGATTGCATTATGGACATCGCATAAATCGCAAACGTCTAGGCAAACCGCGGGACACTGTACGATTGATATTGTGGATGTGTTCGGTCGTGTGCCCAGTCCGACTGGATGAGGTGAATGGTATTGAGCATGTGGTTTTTGATGTTTTTTGGGGGGAACAATCGCATATGCGGGGAGAGCACAGGTTGCGATCTGCGCGGGCGGCTTCGACCGCGAAGCGGTGTGAATATAAAGAAATGATGCAAGGCCTGCCCCTCACTACCTGCGAAGTGAGGGTGAACTATCAAATCCACCCTGCAAAAACCTGCAGAGAGTTCGAAACCACCAGCAGCAAAGGCCTCAAGGGGACTAATTCCGCAACCTCAGCTCATAATACCAAGCACATATGATGGTGAGTCAGGTGATTGCAAACTGGTGATCTTGGGGCCAAGCCAGGACAAGCTGGCCCAAGTACCGATAATCTCATCGACGAATCTGGGGGTCATGTTCGCCTACACTTCGAATTACAAATAACTAAAAACGAAAAAAAAAATTGTTTCGTCGTTCGTTTGTTGATCGTCGCGCCACGGTGACGGCATCATCCACTTGGAGTTGAAACGTCGAACCATCCAGGCCGTTGATATTCAATAAGCGCGGCGCAGTGGATGGTGTTGGGACGTCCACGTGGACGTCCATGTGCTGTGCCTGCTCAACCTGCTCGGCCTCTGCAACTAGCCTCAACTGGATCATGTGCAAAGGGCACAACTTGAGCAAGAACCTACTAGGGGCTCCTGGCATCGCTACTAGGAGCAAGAACGCTACTAGGGACTCCTGGCCTTACTACTAGTAACAAGAATGCTACTAGTAGCAAATTCATCGCATAAATCGTCACGTTTCGTTCAGGTCATAGACTGAATATGTCCGTTGGTGTCCGAGGGGGGAGAAACCTTGGTTCCATCAGTATCAGTACGAGATCAGGACAAATGATGTTGCAGTGGATGGATCAAAGTACAGGATACACCCGGGAAGATTAACATGGAACCTGACAATGAACCTTTGAAAGACTGTTTTCCTCTGCAACCCAGTTGTTTTCAGGTTCGATGGGGGTCTCTTCCGGGGCATAGGGACAAGCTGAGGACAAACAACATTCTGCCATTCACAGGGTCCGCCCTGCATCCCAAAGTACAGTGGATGTTTTTTTGACAGGATTTCTCTTGGTCCCATCGTGTCGCTTCGTGGATGGTGATTTCAACCTGCCTGCCTCCGGTTTGACCGTCCGTTCGGCAACAAGAAGCTCTTTGGCGCGGCAGATAAGCCGTTGGGCTCGCTCCACATCTTCGTGGATGAAGGCCCGCAGCGCTTCGTCGACCACGGCGCGATCCGGGTCTCCACTGAGCACTGCACCCATGGATACAAAGGATGGCACTGCAAAGAAAGTGATTGGATTCAGTGATGTGTGACGTAGGAGTGACACCTGAGGGTGTAGACAAATCACAGTTAACCTTGAAGGGTTCAATGAATGGCTGGAGGTGTGCTCCAAAAGTGTCTGGTCAGGCCCACTCAATTGGTGCAAATCAAGTCCTATCTTTTCTTCCAAGAATGGTCCAGTCAATGTCTCATGGACTGCAGCTTCTTGTGTTTCAATGGCCAAGAGTTTCCCTTAGCCTCGATCTTGGGCCTTCAAAAGTTGGAGTTGACGTCCAAAAGCAAAAAAAACTCAACTGCTGGACCGTTTGCCTTTCTGCAGCTTTCGCACCTTTCAGTTCAATTGCCTACCCAGCGTATTTCATGCAATTCTGGAGACGCTGGTCGTCGCCCAGGCGCCTCGTGGGATGCCTCTGGCGCTTGAGAGCTCCATAGGTTCCACGCCAGGAACCTTGGCGTTCTCAAAACGGTGCCATCTATGAAGGACATGGATGATGTGTAGATCTCGTGCGACAAACGAGAAGTAACGATGGATTCCGATCACCATGAAAGATCAAGAATCAAGAGTGTGGTTCTTTTCCTGAGACATTCCTTGGACCCACGAATTCCGTTCCAAAATTGCTTGGCTGCCACCGTCTGCACCCTTGGTCTCCCAAAGCCGGTGCCCCGGTCTTTCCAGCGCCGAGCGACGCCAGTCCGGCGCCCAGCCCGGTCAGTGCGGCCGGTCGACCCGAGCGGGCGGAACCTCGGGACGGTCCGACGGAGCGGCGCGCGTCCTGGGTGGAGTCGGTGAACGAGTCCAGGTGGGACTGGTGGGTAGTCTGCCAGAAGAGGAAGCAATTCTTTTCGGAAGTGCATTCCCGGTAAACAGCCAATGGTGGGATTTGATCACCATTCCCGGATTCCCCTTTCCTGGGATCATTCCAAATGTCCCTTGTCAATTGGTCTGATTTCTGACAAAGTAAAAAGAATCTACGAGCTCTTTAACAGGTTTCTTAGAATACACACCACTCCAAGAAGAATCCACGTGGTCCTATATAGGAACATAAGTCCAAAACATCTACCGGAGTCTTTGATACTTCCTCCCTTTTTTTCGACCCTCTCGCTCGCCGAAGACGCCCTCTCGCTCGACCGACCCCGACCGTCGGATCGAGCGAAGGATGGAAGGCCCGGACCAAGGACACCCGAAGCGTGGAAGGGTCAATTCTGCGTCACCTTGGGTTCTTCGAAAGACCAACCACCGCTTTTCCCCCCCAAAACGCAGTGGTTGTTGTGGTTGTTCATTGTAATTTGGTAATCGTTCAAAACGGGTTGGAGGTGTCGGCAATCGAACTTGTGTTGGGTTCTGCTTCCTTTGATGGAACACATGCTACGCGTGCGGTATGGGGAAAGTGTTTGCCCAGGTGAGGGGGGCATATAGTAGCTCCGGCGCACGCCCCATTCGCTTAGCCACACCCTGAGCAGCTGACTGCGACCAGTCTCCAATGGTGGCACGGTGGAAGATTCCTGCACGAAGTGCACAGCACTTCACAAGCGGCGGAAGACCGCAAGCAGCAAGCAGTCAGCAAATCTAATCAATCGAGTGGTACAAGTGGAAAAGGTTCTTCGAATCACCCCACTGAAAAAAGAAATTCCTTTGGGATACGTTGGGTCCTACCCCCTTCTACCAAATCCGACGGGTGGCCTGGGAGCACAAATAGCATGCGTGCACAAGAAAGCAACAGGTAACAGGTAGCTATTGGGAAAGAGCTATGAGTTTTGTGGACAATTTACAAGTAGGTAAGAGAGTGTATGTGTGTGTGATGCATGTGCAAATGTATGTAAGTGTGAGTTTGTAGGCACCTGGCGACCATGGATGTATGTAGGCATGAGAGGCCATCTGATTCTCTTTCCCCACCCTTGCCAATGTGTTTTGTTTTTGTGAATAAAAAACGTGAGAACAAAGCCCGGGACGATGAGGCCCAACAACTGCAGGCGCGGGCCCGGGTTGAAAGCCGGACTTTTTCCACATGCTGCAAGGGAATGTGCACTTCAATAGAATGCAAGGTGACCTTTGACCCAATGACCTGTGGCATTGTCATAGAGCTTTCCTCTGTAGAAGAGAAACTTGCAAACGTCTATGTTGCCACGAAAGGGTTGCTAAAGTATATCCTCATGTTTGAGCATCCTACACAATCGATCCTTTCAGAGGGTCGCGAAACGCAAGGATGTAAAAAAAGCTCTTCTACGCACATGTGTAATAGATTTCCAAGTTCTACACATATAAGAGAACCAACGACAATCTGCATGTGCACTTCCACACAGGGCAACATAACCTGCAAATATCTGCATGCACTTCTACAAAAACATAACCAGCGAACATAACCAGCGTGCACTTCTACATATGCAAGGGGCACAGCGATCAAATATATATATGCATTTATGTCACACATGTAAAAAAAGAATCATATGCAATTGTAGAGGGATCCATCGCGGCGTCCACCCGTCCAATCGACTCTTCGGGGCACCTGCGCCGGGGCCGCGTCGCCCGCCGCCAAGGCGGAGAGCACGGAGCCGTGCGCCTACCGACGCAGGAAAAACCGCTGTGGGGAACGAGGAACGACGAACAATGGAACTTAACAAGGAACTTTGAACGGAACTTAGTTCTTTTGCGACATGGGGTTCTTGAACAACATTTACCATGTTATTTGTTGGTCTTCTCTTTTTTGGTCTCGAGAGCGCGAAGAAGAAACAGGACGAGAAGGAAGAAAAAGCGACCAAAGACTCCGCTTCAGTTAGTTCAACGACGGTGTGGAACTCGGCCTTAAACGTTTTGGTCTCTACCAAACACATTCCCAAAAAAAGAGCCCTTCCACTGCAGTGTGTCCCTCTCTTTCAATCGGGCGCTTTCTGGGATTGGTCGGCTGATCTTCCGACCAATTCAGCGCCCCAATGCTGGGCTCCGTCCGAGTCCGAGTCCAGTGACACACGAGGTGAGGAGTTGAAAACCGCTAAAAGGTGAGTGGCTAAACCGTGAAATGGTCTTAGAATGGCAAAATTCGATGCGAACCCTTGTGAATTTGACTCAAAAGTGCTGAAATGGTCTGCCAAAACGTCCGCTTTCTCCCACTCGTCTCAGGTCGTCTCAAGCCTTTCTGTCCCATTCTGCCATGGAACAAATGCTTTGCTCTCAAAGATGGTCCTTTAAACATGACCGGAGGCTTCTCTGACGCCCGTCATGTGTTTTTCTCTGAAAAGTGAACAGAACGAACAACCAGGGCAGCGCCTTTCGCTGAACCCCCCAAACCGCTCCCCCGTTCCGAAAACGAAAACCCTCCACTTCGGTCGGTTCGATCTCGCCTCACTCGGGCCCAACTTCTTTCCTTGGTCGGACGGTGGAAAGCCAAGCTGGAAGGAAAGCCTAACTTCTTTCCTTTTGATTCGGCCAGCAGGGCCAGGCTGCAGAAGCTCGTGAGGCTCAGGATGCTTTGGATCGAAGGCCGTGGCCACCGAACGGGGGTGACACATCGATCAGGAGGCGCAGGAGGCGCTTGGGTCTGCCATGTACGGTGAACCAAAGGACGGTTCCGTCATCCCAGCGTTGAAAAGCATGTACCGTTGAAAACCCACCGTTTTGCTATTAACTCACTTGGCTGTGGTTCAAAAAAAACGGATTGCCACCCAAGAAACCTCAACCAACAGGATACACGCGTGGGCGTGTTCAAGTTTCTCCAACAGTTTGATCACCAGTCAGTCAAAGCAGTCAGTGATAATTGGAATTTCACTTGGGGTCGTTGCGACACCTCGCTCCACCGAGCGGCTCATGTCATCGATCTGCTGACGCAGCTCGAGGATGAGCGCCTCACGACCCACGTGGCCCACGGGTCTGGCCAGAAAAAAAGTGTGTTCGTCGCAGGGAAGGATGAAACATGCACTTGCACGTCTGGTGTCCTGGGTTTCCAAGCAAACTCGAGATCGAGATCATGGGACTCACAGAAAAGACTCGATATGTACACTGTTTCTCAACTCCGGTGAGCGGTGCTGAGGTCGCATATAGGTCTTTGCCGGACTCCGATCGCGTTCCTCGGTCTCTGTGGTCACTCGGTGCCGAAATGGGTCACCAGTTGGGAGGTGTCTTCGAAACCAGTTCGGATGTGAATCATAGTAGAGTCCTTGCTCCAGTAGCGTTGGGATGTTCCAATCTCCGTTCTCAAGATCCCAAAGCAACATCCTCCGATCGCCAATCTCAGCAAGAAGTAAGTCTCCTTCACGATGTTGGAAATGGGGAGCCAGACCTCCTCTGTTCGAAGAAATGCCTCTCTGAAGAATCATTATCCAATTGAGAAATGCTTTGTCCTTTGCAGACTGGGTTAGCGCAGACAAAGACCCTGCCAGGCTCCGCCATTTTGCAAAGGGATCCAGGACCAGAGCCTCTACTTTAAAGAAGCATCGACAGCCTTCGCTGTGGCAGCCCTCAAGATACCTTCAATTGAGATAAACTGATATTCAACTGTCATCTTCCCCATCCCGTCCCCCTTCGATATATCGCTGCCCTCGCTCCCCCAGGAAAGCACCTCGCTTCCCTGCCCGCTGAAGTCAAACCGTTTTCACATCAGCTATCGCATCGTGATAGACCCAATACATGGGAGGCCACTCCAAGAGCTGGTCCAGTTGACTTCTGTCACCAACTTTTTATATGTTTTCCAGATGTCAGTCTCATGAAAACCATCCTTCATGACAGAACAACGAACACATCGCGTGGATAGGACGATGCGCCGGGTTTTTTGGCATGGCAACCCCCTCTCATTGTGGGTAAAATGATGGAAAATGGCCCATACGATCCACTTCAGTTGCAGTCGAATCAGAAGATTCATGCCACTGGCGCCAGTCTCAAGACTCAAGTCGAAAAGAATCCCTCTCCTCTTTAAGTTGTATAGGAAAACCCTTCAACCAAACCCTTCAACATCCTTCACATCTCTCAGCCTTTCCCCCCACTTGTATGTTCACATCTTCATCTTCTGGGATGAACCAAAAAAACACAACCAACCCCCTTTAAAAAAAAATCATCTCAGATCCGTCCCTTTTTCGCTCACTTCTTCGACCGTCGCTTCGTCGCTTCTTCGCTTCTTCGCTTCGCGCCTGGCGGGCCGCCTGCGGCTTCACGTGAGCGCCGAAGGTCTCGGACCTCGGAGCGGGCGGTCTCCGGGCGGGTTCCCGCGCGGGCGAACGTGCGAGCGAAGGTTCCGGAGGAGGAGGGTTCTTTTTCGTTGGGGCGACGTCCGGTGGCGCGAAGGTTCGGGTTTTTTCCGGCTTCCGATGTTCTTTGGGTTTTTTTCAGAAGCTTGCACTTGCCGGTGAAGAAAGAACGAGATAGTCTGTCGAGGTAGCTACAGAGCCCAGAGATGACCTCTGTTTTGAGAGGTATACGTTTTTGGGGGTGAGCCTGAGTCTATGCATCCAGAGGCTCTCCCGGGCGCAGCTCACCTCTTCACTCCACCTCTTTGCGCGCCGGAGCTGTCGCCGCTTTCACGCTGCGGAGCTCGCCTCCCGCGAAGGTGGAGGGCTCGATGGAACCGGGTCACGGAACTGGACTTGATAGTAGCTGCAGCACGCAGCAGTGGCGGTGTTTAGATGGTGAGTAGAATCTCGGATCAAGATGGATGGATCCTACAAAAGGTCCATTCGTGCGGGCAGAGGCGGGAGACGAATCCCGGCGGTGCTTTTTGTTCTTTCTTTTTCTGCTTCCCGTCCGAAGCCGGTCGAGGAGGATCGAAAGGAGAATGAGAAAGGAAGACGACCATCCGCAACGACCGTCCCCTCATCCACCCGGCCTCTCATGCGCCGGAGGGGCACTGCATGTGGCTCTGCGGCGCAGTGGCTTGGCTTCCCTCAGATGAGCGACAACGAATGTGACACAAAACGAGTCGGTTCGTGGAGAGTCATTGATGCTTCGTTGGCACGAAAAAGACACATCCGCTGCAACCGGACGAAATGGATCCGGGTTTACTCACCGTTCAACTCACCATCCGACGAAACAACTACGTTCGATCTCCATCTAATCGTCGTCACACCGACTCCGTCGTCACACCGACTCCGTCATCCGGTGTGCCCTGCGGTGGAGGGATGACCTCGCGGATCGGTCCGTCGTGGATGGTCCGTCGCGTCGTGGTGGGCTTGGGCTTTTTGGGCTTGGGCGTTGAGGTGAGCGAGTCATGCTTGAGATAGGGCGGGATGCTGTAGCAGACGCGCAGGAGATTTTTCAGGTGTTTGAGACAAGAGTTACGCCCTACTAGCAGGGTGCCCACACCGCCTGAGAATTGAGGCTGCTCAGCACGATGGCTGGGGCGCAAACCTTCCTCTAAGGAAAACGAAAATCAAGTGGACCTGTCACAGAATGAAGGCCAGCAAGATTCTAAGCAAAGCTGTGAAACTCACTGTTATGTGGACCTTTGCCCCCACGATTTCTTCACCCTAAAGATGGATCTCGAAGGATCTTGCCAAACAAAGGTGCTGCAAACTGCTTGGCAGTGTCTCCAACCAGGAGCCGTAGTCGGAGGCGGCGCCACAGCAGTCCAATAGAGTCAATGACTGCAGGCTGCTCGGCCACACAACACCTTCCAAGCTCCGGACGAAGCCAAAGGTCAAAGCTAGCAAGCTTTTGGGGAATGTGACACCCAAGCTCTGGTCAAACTCTCCTCCGAAGGTCAAAGTCTGCAGGCTGCTTGGCAAGGTGACACCTTTCAAGCTCTGATTGAACTTAAAGCCGAAGGACAAAGCTTGTACGCTGCTTGGCAAGGTGACACCTTTCAAGCTCTGGTTGAAGCAATGGCCGAAGATCAACGTCTGCAAGCTTCTTGGCAAGGTGACAGCTTCCAACCTTTGATTAAACTTGAAGCCGAAGGACAAAGTCTGTAGGCTGTTTGGTAAGGTGACATCTTTCAAGCTCTGGTTGAAATCCTCGCTGAAGGTCAAAGTCCGCAGCCTGCTTGGCAGCATGACACCTTTCAAGCTCTGGTTGAACCTCTCGCCAAAGGTCAAAGTCTGCAAGCTGCTGGGCAAGGTAACACCTTTCAAGCTCTGGTTGAACCTCTCGCCGAAGGTCAAAGTCTGCA